CACCCGTCTAATTTGCTCATCGTCTAATTTCATAGGCCCCGTTAATATTTATCTTACAAATACATTTTGAAAGATCAAGTGGAGCTACTTTCTTTGACAAACTTCAAGTTTTGTTTACCTGAAGGATATACTTGCATCCCAAATACACTCATGTGATTTGGGAAAATCACTGCGTGGAAGCAAGCTTCAGAAGGGCCATTCGGTAAATCGAAAAAGTGACAGAACAACTTGGGTTTTAGCATTGTTGCCTTTAGTTATGACAGCTGAGTTGAGTGAGAGGCGGGGAAAGTGAGGACCTGTCACTTGGCAAAAATTTCAACATAGTTCAGACTCACTTTTATAGAGACAATTACTATCTTTTGTTTTGGGACTAGGATCCCGAACAATTTGATGTTTTCAAGCCTAGAAGTGGTGTTGAGTCTTCTATATGGCACAAACTTTAAGAAAAATAAAGAGAGAACTGAAGTATGCCTGCCTATTACGAAAAGCTAGCTATGTTAAGAACTTAAAGCGGAGCTTGACTTTTTGACGTAAAACGTTTGTTCCAAAGAATTGACTGTTGTTAAAACAAGCTTTCAGAAAAACGGATGGTTGCAGTGAACAACTTTTAGTCAGAAGCTGCGAGTAGCCTAAAAGCACAAAAAATGTCCAAAAAACAGAAGGTAGCAAAAAACAGAACCTTAACAATCTTTTTACGCCGCATTCGGCCGTGATTAGAACTTTAGAAAAAAAATAATGCTTTTTTTTGATTTTTCAGATAGAGAAAACCGAAAAATGAACGAAATTTTTCATCGATTAAAAATTGATGGAATTTCTTTGAAATGAGAAGCCGAAGTCTCCATTTCTTCTCCAATAATGAAATTCTATCGGCTGTAATTACAAAAGCATCAAACAAAGAAGAGCTGAGAGCCTGACTTTGAAAACTAAGCAATTAAGATTTCAGAAGAAACAATACTTGCGGGTAATGATAGACTTAGTAGAAAAGTTACTCTAGATAATTAAGTGAAACGGATTTCTCAGCTTTGAAGCCGGATTAGGGAGCTTGCTATTAGATTTTTGGAAAACAACCACAACTGTTCGAAAATGAGAGTCATAGTCAAATATTCGCATGACTTCCACCAAGCAGTGGAACGAGATTCCTGGGCTTTTGAATGGGTTGCGAGACCTTTCAAACAGGATTTGAATAAACAACCTCATATGCCAGAAGTGAAACTGCTGAAAATGAAACGGGTCCTCCTAGCCTGCTAATGGTATTAAAGAGTCCCGCGTTGACCTCCATAGACCAAAAATGCCAGTCATACAACTCCAAAATATCAGTCAATAAAATAAACTCTACAAATTTTATACATTTCGCTAAAATACTGTCATCGAATTTTACAAGAACTTCTTTCTTCTTTTGGCATACAAGTTGTTGCATCGACATAAAAATAGAATGTTTTCTTCGGTCACAAAAAAGCTACTTGTACTGTTTTCGTTTATGAAATTAACATCACTAGCTTTTTTAATAGGACATGAAAACATTTTTATGTAGTTTTGGGATTTCCCAAAAATTTCAGTTCTTTTTCATCGTAAAACCAAATTTGCACTGAAAACAAACAAAAGCAAGAAAAGTTCAATACTAACAATTTTTTTCTGTGCTCCTAACGTTTTCCTGGATAAACAAAAATTGAATTTTTTCTTGAATTTTTCCTCGTTTCGCTGCATAATTTGTTTAAGAAACTCAAAATGCCTTTTCCTATGAAAAGGCATGTTTATCTATGTCTTGATCGATGCCTGATTAGTTTTACTATGAGGCCGAAGTGAAAACATGAAATCATCAACGCCAGACAAGTGTGTCAGCTGGAAACGTTGGAAGGAGTTTTTTTCTCATAAACATCCGTAGAAGAGTCGATTTTGGACTTATCTGCTTTCCTTGATTTTTATTTTTATTTTTGGCTTTTTTGTATAAATTTAATTGAATGCTATCAGTAGATGCGAGTTAATTGGCATAATGGAACCAGTTCAAAACATATAATTATTATATCCAAATATATTCTTGATAACTATCACTGTAAAATCCATGACTAAAACTTACAAATAACCTCTGACAAGCAGACGGTGTGTTTTATCCAAAAATACTCTTTGAGAAAGACACCCCGGAACTAAACTCAATAGAGAAATCAAAAGCTACTCAAAAGTAAGATGAACAAGACTGCTGTATCAGAGTGAAGCAATGAATGATTCGGGACTGCTTTTGTTTGCATTTTTTTGAGAAAAACAGGTTATGAAGTCTTCAAAAAATTGGTTCAAATTCTGATTAAGCAAACAAAGCATTAGAAATCAAATAATTTCACAAACATTCTAACATCTACTGAAGCAAAAACTTTTTAAACATCCCGAGGCTAGAAGCCATAATACAACAAGGTTAATCAAAGGGCGATTAAAACATTTCGACAAAAACATTGGAAAAACTTTCCCAGTTTTTTATGAGTTTTGCTAGAATTTTAAATGTTTTTGATGCTGTCAAAAAAGTGTCAATCTTGATAACAATTCAATCAAAAATTGAAATTCAGCAGTAATTTTTCAATTTTTTATCGATTTTGCTATTTCAGTTTAAATTACAAAAATGTGCAAACTTTGGGGATTGTTGTGATAACAAACTTACTTTGAAATCATTCGCTAAAACTGTATGCAAAATTTTGACTATATTCTTAAGCAGTTCGTAGAACGACAGACTTTTTTCTCAAAACATCAGGTGTTTTAATTTTACACAGATTATGTGATTTGACAATTAGTTATGGTGTTCTAATGTAATTTAAAAAGTTCCAACACCGCCTATCTTATGGTGAAATTATATAATGAATTCTGAGGGCAAAACCTTCAAAGCGAATGAGGTCATGATTCAATCCAAGATGTAACAGTCAAAAACAGTTTGCTAAACGTTTTTGAGTGTTACTGTTTGTACTGTTCGAGTATCTATCAATACTAAGAATACTAAGATCAACCAACTTGCTGACACCCCTGTCTGGCGTTGATGGTATTATACTTAAGTTCTAATAGACCAAGCTTCCCGTACCGAGCGCCCATGGATCATAATCGATTATATTGCGATAACATGGTCAGCATCTATAAAATGACAAAATAATCGATTATAATCCATTAAAAATGGATTGTAACCCTAATATTTTTTATGTCAGTATAATCCATTATAATCGATTATAATCCATTAAAAATGGATTATAATCCAAATATTTTTAATGTCAATATTATCCATTATAATCGATTATAATCCATTAAAAAAGGATTATAATCAGGGGCGGATCTAGGATTTTCTAAAAAATTCAAAAATTTTGGGACCTTTTTTTTAGGTCGAACAATTGATTTTTCGGGCTCTCCCCAAGCACTGTTTTGCCCCTATTTTGGCATTTTGGCTAAATTTTCTGCGCCGCAGGCGAATTTTTGAAAAAACAGTCAAAAAGCACTTTTGAAAATCTTTGAAAAAAAAGTCGCGTTTTTTTTTGGCGCGCGCTCCCCCTCAAAGTTAGTATATATTGGCGCCAAAGGTGCCTTTAGAAAAATTTAAGGGTCGGTCGGCCAAAAATCGATTTCTTAAAAAGTATCAAAGGGGGGACCCTTTGGGTCGGCAGGGGTTCGAATCCCTGAGGGGAAAGGGCGTCCGCCCCCCCCCCCCGCCCCCCCTAAATCCGCCCCTGATTATAATCCTAATATCTTTATGCCAATAAAATCCAATATAATCAATTATAATCGATTATAATGGATTTTTTCGAGGAGTTATTCTTGAAATTTACAATTTTGTTCGAAGTTATTTAATTCTCTGTTTAGTGCAGCTGCTACGCATTACGTTTAATAAAATGTTACATTTCAGAATAAAATGTATACATTTTTTGTCTCAACTTTTTTAATTCATTGCAGTTTAACACTTCATTTTACTGTTTTTTAAATTTTTTTACCACAAACCAGTACCGCCCCCACCCCCCACAGTTTACCATCCCCTCCAAGTTTTCCACCATCCCCCCCCCCCCCCGTTAAGCCCCCCAGTTTACTCCCCCCTCCCCCAGTTTACACCCCCCTCAGCTCACACCTTCCTACCAGCTTACCCCCCCCCCCACGGTTACCCCACCTTCAGTTGGGAGGGGGGGGGTTAAAAAAACTTGAGGGACGAGGGGACGACGTTCAGACATGGCATTTAGTAAAAAACATGGCATACACTCTGCAAATTTCTCGCAAAATTTGCAAAATTTTGCAAAAATTTATCTAATTCAGTTCTAAAAATGAAATGGATTATAATCGATTATAATGGATTATCTTGGCAAAAATAATCGATTTCAGTGACAAAAATAATGGATAATAATTGATTATAATGGATTAAAATGGGTTATTTTTTTTCAGAAATAATCGATTATAATGGCAATATATTCGATTTTGTGATCTGAATTTTACATCTGTAATGGATAATAATCGATTATTTTTGTCTCGGAAATCCATTATAATTGATTAGAATCCATGGGCACTCGGTGCGGGTTAGTTCCAAGAGCCCAAGTATCGCAAGCAAGTCCACTGAACTATGTCTTGGCGCATGTCCACAAACAGCAAGAAAGAAGCATGCAGTTCGTAATGAATCAGTGCATATTAATATGGTTGTAAAACAGAACTATATTTGTAACTTTTCACGTATTCACTGGAAATTGTTCAAACAACCATTAATGTTTTGTTAACTGGACGTAAGCGAACCATTTTAATCGGCACATGGCTTCGTATTAAAGTCATGGGAACATTTAGTTATACACTGCATAAGGGAAGAAATGTGACGACTATGTTTCGCTTATGTCGAGTTAACAAAACCTTAATGGTTCATCAATTTCAGCGAGTGACAGGTTGCCACTGTGTTTGTGTTCACTTCGGTGGAAGCATCAATAAAAAGTTGGACCCTGGACGCAATGGGCAAAAAGAGCTATTTGTTCATGCAACCAACGAATGAGGAATTAAAAGTAGAAGTAGACCTAGCTGTGTGTCTGTGCTTGAGAGGGATCCCATGGTGGCCTCCAGCAGAAGGGGCAGGTCGAACCTCCTCTCCACAAAAAAGTTGAGTCGGTTGTCCTCTAAAGACTCGTCCAGACCCAACACGTAGTAGCTCTTGTTCAGGGGCTCGTAATGGGCAGGATTGCCCAGTTTGTGAGCTGCAATGCACATGAAACGAGTAAGTCATAAGCCCCCAAAGCATGCATTGCCATTTATGCTATATCTGCTTCATTGCAATGTTTGAGTGTAAACATATCTAGCAGTTAGCAACCAATATTGATCTAAAGTTAAATGATGTTTTTAAACAATGAGAGCACTATATGTTCCCTTAAACTAAACCCCTTTGTTTTGAGGGGTTTGGTGGGTGACCCCCATGTATTAAGATAGGGAATACAGCATCCGGTCACCAAGCTATGTATTAAAATAGATTTCCTACGTATTAAGATAGGGAATACTAAGATAGGGAATAAGGTTTCAGATGGTAAGTTTCAGAAAACAACTTTGGTGCCTGATCTTACCATGTTTTAGGATAGTTTATAGACTTCCCTTTGCATAAGGATTCGTTGTAGGGAATTAAGAACTCATTGAGATAGGGAATATGTTTCCCAAAGTATTAAGATAGGGAATGGTAAGGTTTCAGTGAGATGTTAAGAAAATGGTACGAAAAACGGTATTTTTTGTATTTTGCGTGGAAGTATCTACTTTTTTTGCGAAAATCTCAGCACGCGTAATTGGCGCGTGTTACGTGTAAATTGGGTAATGAAAGTATTATATTTTTTGGTTCAAGGTAAGTCAATGGTAAGATGGGCAAAAACTTGGATTTATTATCAAAAATTTGAAAATTTTTTTCAAAAAAATTCAAAACACGATTTGATATAATTTGACTAAAAAACTGTTTTATTAGATGATCTTACTTTTGAAACAGTTCTCAATCCAGCTGAAAATATATTAAAATTTACTGAAACTTCGAAAAAAATCAGATTTTTGGGAAAAATTGTAAAAATTTCAAAGTGTTTGGACAAAATTGCAAATTTTTGGAAGCAACTGCAGAAATCGCAAGGTTTTGGCTTGTTTTTTGTTGCTCCTGATCTAATTGAATAAAAAAATGCATTTAGAGTTTAAAATTACGCTCAAATTATATTTCAATTGGCATCATGTTGAGACACTGATACAAAACTTTGAATAGAAATATAGATTTTTTCACAATTTTCTCTCAAAATAATAAAATACGATAAAATTTACTGTATTTTTTAGCTAAAAAGTGGTTTATACACTGCTCTGAACATATAAAGCTCATATAAGTTGAATCGATATTGATACTTCCAATTTTTCGGAAAATGAGTGTAATTAATCGTTATTTTCCAGAAAAAAAATTGTCAAATCTGTCAAACGTTTGCCATTTTTAACCTTTCATTTGTGTATTTAACTGGTTTTTTGTTCAAATCAAGGAGAATTCAAATAAGAATCTCAATTCAATTGAATAATAAGGGCAATATTCATTGAAAGTTCTAGATCCAACTCCATGATCCAACTCCTCCTCTGTTTTTTCTCAAAGATTAACCAAAACATGTACAAAATTACAGTTCTGAGAAGTTTTCATGTTGGTAATAATAACAAGTCTTAGATCATAGTTGAAAAATGAACATTTTACTGCTAAAATTGACTAAAGATGGGCTAACTTTTTCTTAAAAATTATATTAGATTGGATGAAAATCAACAAAATCTTCTTCAAAACTAAAGATTATCTCTCTGTTGCTTCAATAACATAATTTTTATGATTTTTCCGTAGAAAATTTCTAGGTTTCAAGGTTGTTCTTGCTTTCTGCTTTAACATGTATTCGCTATTGAACTCACTTAGCAAGAAAATTTAAACAGAACAGGTGAATTTAGAAGGAAAATGGTATCAATTGAACGAACAATTTGCTGGCAGAGATAAAATTAGAACTGATAACGTCTGATCATTATTTTGTCTTTTTACAAGTTCTCCCTTAGGTTCCTTTGTTTAGTTATAAAAACAAATTATTTAACCAAAAGTTAAACTTTTAGGATCATTAACTATCACTTTTATTGCAAAACAGTTATTAAATCGTTTTTATTCTTGATTTGTGTAGGAAGTTTTCTCAAAAAAATCTCAGTGAGAAAGAATCGGAGCTAGTTAAAGCATTCAACAGTACGTGTAGAAATTGAGAATTTAAAATTGTGTTTTTATGTTGAGTTTTTCGAACGAATTGAGAGCAGCTTGATTTTTTTAAATCTGAAAACCTTTGGAAATAGAAATACGCAAGTAGGTCTAGGTTCAAGGTGCAAACTGTAGCAACTAAATAATTTTGCCAAAAAAACTGAAGCTAACTGGAACAAAATCTTTACTAATTGAAATTTTTCATGTTAAATTTCATATGATTAAGAGATCCTAGAGCTGGCTCTGCCGAAGTATCAGTTTGTTTTAGAAATTTTCAGCAAGCTCCATATTTTTTTCTCTAAAAATCTTTCTACATCAAATGTTTGTTTTGTATCCAAAATAATGAAATGTAGATCTTGAAAGAAAATTTTCCATTTATGCTACATTTATCATCTTCCAAAAGATGTTGGAATTGTTTCACAAAAAAATTTCTCAAAATAAATGAGTTTTTGTATAAATTTACCTAATATATCAAATGATAAAAAATTTCCAAACATTACACTTTTATGTTGGAGTTTTTCTCAAGCTAAAACTTATAAGTTAAATTTTAGTATAATTATCTCAAGTTTCTATCTCAATTTAGAACTTCCTCAATTTCTGCTTCATCTACTATTTTCCAACTTAATCCTGTTTGAACAATATTTACTTAAAAACTGAATTTTAGATGGAAAAATGCATCATTTCAACGATTGCTAAATGACTCGATGCAAAAATAAAAACCATAAATCCTTTGCTAAAAATTTTCAAGTGACTTTCTCAATCTAGTAACTGTATGTTGCTGTTTCAACTCTGAATTTTTATACTGAAGTAAGTTTTTAGTTGAGAATTATGTACATTACTAAATTGAAGTTTTCACAAGTTAGCAAAAACATTTATTTTTTAATTGTTTCTTGGTCAATTCTCATTTTTTTCTTAAATCGTCAGAAAACAGTAGAAAACCATAATTTTGAATAAATTAATTCCATTATCCGCTTAAAGTTGCACTGTGCTATGAACACTTTTACCAGCACTAAACAAGGAAAATTTTTAAATGCTAACAAGACAAAATTTTTCAATTAGTCGATGTTTTGTAAATACCAAGTTTTTTACGACTTCTTAAAAAAATCCTAAATAAACATTAGCGTATGGTATGTACTTCTACAAAACTATCGCAACAAAATCTAATCAAGCTTGCCATCAATTGAGTTTTTACTGTAGGTTAAAGATTTTCGGATCTATTTCCATTGAAAGTTTCACGAAAATTTGAACTCGATTGTTGCTGGTGTTATCATCAATCAGAACCTATGAAAAAAAATGATATATCTTGAATTTTGATGCAAAACTATAACTTTTACTCTATTTTTTTTCAAAATTATCTTCATTGAATTTCAGATTCCGTAAAAATCAATATTCATAGTGATTTGTATGTTCTTAACAAAAAAATAGTAACTTCACCTCTGTCGGAGTATGTTTGGATAGTCCTGAGCACATAATTTAACCTTATGTTATAAATGCTTCTTCTTGATATGATTAGTGAGTTCCTCGCTGCTATGAGTAAAAAGTTACAGTTCGAACACTTTAAAACACCGCAGGTTCTACGATGTCTTGACGCATCTTTACGTGTGTTTTCTCTGACACACACAAAACATACTTCTATTCAGTGACGGCATCTCAATAAGTAGAGAAGGAATAAATGGGAGATTTAGAGTAACCCAAACTTTTAGAAAAGAAAAGTTGAACAGCCTCAAAAATTAGTAAAAGTAAATAAAAGCAGCAATTTTCTTAACCAATTGTTTTTAACGTGAAAGGAAATCAGAATAGATATGCTATTTAGCCTAGCTGAAATAAAATCCCTCCAATCTAACCATGGAGTTTTCAAATTGTTTGCTATCAACCAATCAGAATCCAGCATTAATTATAAGGAAATTTTTATCTTTTATGAGATCAACCAATCAGAAATGAGTATTTTTTTAGTAACACTGTTTGTTGGAAATCAACCAATCAGAATTCAGCGTTTTCTAAAAGTGAACTGTTTACCATGTTTTTAAAATTCCAATCATTATTTGAAAAATGACAATCAAAAAACATTTGAATTTCCTCGAGCTACATTACAAGAGAAAAGAAAAATTCCAGTTGACTTTTTTTTTGATGAAAAAGATGTTGACTCTTTCTTTTTTCATAATTTTTTGGACGTTTTTATTGTACAAAATAGAGTTATCCGACTAAATAAAGGTCTCTTTAGAGAAACTTACTCAATCAAAGAGTTCACTTTTGAACCAAGTATTGAGTACCAAAGCTTCAAACATACGGCTGAATTAGACCTGACAAGGGAAGAAATTTTATTTATTTTAGAAAATTTGAAGTTAATAAAAAATCTTACGATAATATATCAAAACTCTTTTTATCACCTACCCAATACCCTAATTTGTAAAAACTCCACAGCAAAATTCTTCATTCCTCCATTTCATTGAAGATTTTCTTGCAAGTTCAAAATCTTGCATGATCAGGTTTGGAATCAGATTTTCAGAGATTTGCTTTGAAAGTTACATCAACTTCGAGTTTTGCTCTCAAATCTACATAAAAAAAATAGCTTGACTATCTGCTCAAAAATCAGCAAGTTCTCATTGATTATATACAAAAAATTCAATTAACCTGATCAGAAGACTTGCAGAGATGCTACTTTTATTAGTTTTCCTTCTTTTTTAACTTAAATCGGCGATATTTCTTATTTTTACAGCTACAGCAAACAACTTTTGGTCATTTATTTTTGCGTTGCTTTTGTGTATATTTTTACTTATTTGGAAGGTTTAAGCCCTTAAAAGGTAAGTTTTCCTCTGATTGGATACGACAACTAGAACAAAAATGAACTTTCTTGTGATTGGAAACGACAATGCCTAAATTTGAGCTTTGTTTCTGATTGGTTATAACTTTTATCCAAAAATTCCATAAAAGGAAGCTGAAATCTGATTGGACACGACTACAATCCAAATAAGGAAAGTC